GCGCAACGAGTGGGCGAGAACTGCTGGCACCACTAGTGAAGAAGGGGGGACTAGGTCTAGAAAGCCCAGTTGAGCGAGCTGGATTCGAACACGCAACGTCTCTTCAGGTAACCGCCCGTCTTGTCGCGCGAATCGTATGCCAGGCGCATGAACCTCCAGATGATGCTCTGATAAGATCTTTGCAGTTAACCACGCGTAGAGAGAGAGATGTGAGACTGGACGACAAATTAGAAGGCCTGAGGAACTCTCTATCCGAGAAGACGAACAGAGCGGTCGATCTCGCCGCAGAGAAAGGTGCTTCAAGTTGGCTCACTGTCATCCCGGTAAAGGATATAGACTCAACAACAGAGAATTTAAAGATGCATTTCATCTAAGGTATAACTGGCAGATAAGTGGCGTAACAAATGTATGTGTCTGTGGAGAGCCCTTTAATGTCGATCATGCAATGATTTGTAAACGGGGGGGAGGGGGGGGCTTCATTATACAAAGCTTATACAAGCTGCGGGATCTTGAGGCGCAGATGCTTAACCTAGTCTGTCATGATGTTGAAATTGAAGCTGTTCTGCAGGAGATTACCGGTGAGTCGTCAGTCAGGGTGGCTAATACATGCACGGGGTTTTTGGTCTAGACAGGGTTCCACGTTCTTTGACGTACGTGTGTGCCACCCAAATGCGGATTCTTACAAGGACCTCACCCCTCAGCAAATATATCGCCAGCATGAAAACGAGAAGAAACGTATGTACGCAAGCCGACTTATGGAGGTGGAACAAGCCACGTTCACGCCGCTGGTGTTCACCACTACAGGTGGCATGGCACCCGAATGTCAAGTCTATCACAAGCGACTTATTAGCGGAGCTCCTGTCAGCCAACAAAAGGCGAGGACTACTCGACTACGATGTCTTGGATAAGAACCAGAATCTCATTTGCCATTCTGAGAACATCCTTCCTGTGCTTAAGGGGATCGCGTTCAATGAGTAGAGTAAATCTCAACCTAAAAGAGATGGACTTTGACAACGAAAGAGGACTTTTAGGACGCTAGATTTTGATTTAGATAAAAGATAATGAATATTGTATATTCAATTATTACTACTATTTAATACTCTTATCGTTGTTGGTTCATGTTGAAATCGTGCCAGATTTTAAAGAGGAATTAGTGAAAAGATGTTAAATATTGGTAGTGATTGCTAATAGTAATAGTAATTTATAATAATTAGTAGAGAAACATTGTCGTGGATTATATTTCAAGAGATATTGAGACATTATAATCTTTTCTTGTCTTTCTAACAGATGTAAAGGTACAAAATTCGTTTTAATTCCTTTTAAGTGAAGCACGGTACATAGGTCTTTTTTATGAGTATTGAATAATGATTTTATTATTATTATTATTATTATTATTATTGTTGTTATAATTATTAATATCAATTGAATGGGTGTTTGTAAGTTGTAGATGGCAGTACGAGTTCCTCTATTGTGTTAGTGTTAAGAGTTTTTCTTTTCCTTGACTTTTAAGATGTGGACGAGTGTTCTGCAGGTCATCAGTGTGACAGCAGTGCAACTTGCCATAATACAGATGGATCTTACACATGCACCTGTGACAGTGGCTACTCAGGAGATGGACGAACCTGCTATGGTAAATATACTACCGGTACTTCATCAACTGCACAGGTTTCACAAATAAATCTTTCACAAAAGGAAGGGAACACGAATTTTGGCCTTTTTAATTTTTGCATTTCAGAGTTATCCACTCTAAAAGTCATTGCACTAAAAAAAAAAAGTTCAACTTCAATCTCCTCAGCCAGCTTTAAAACAAAGTTCAAGTTCAGTACATGGACCGAATCTTGCTCCCCTATGATACATGGAGATGGACACACCTTGGCAACCGGAATTATCCAACTAACTTTAAGGATAACACTCGCGATAGATTTTCCCGGCAGTCGGGGGATCACGTTCCGGACTGCTAGCATTCGGAATGGCGTTGCCTTCGCATTATAAGAGTTGTATTCCCCCGTAAGAAAGTACGAAAACAGAGGAAATGACTTGTAAAAAAATTTATACTAAGCTGCTGTCTCTTCGATCAAAGCCTCCGGCGACTTGTGAGAAAAGACTCTTAAATTTTGGCTACCAGAAGGGTGATTTGAGAAAATTATATCTATTGCCTTTTGAAGTAACAAAAGAAGTAAAGCTATATTGTCCAGCAGATCACACCATCATTCATCTTTTCACTGAGTGCGCGCAAGCCACTTTGTTCTGGAAGGAGTTTCTGGATTGGGCCTTGCGCATGGTAAACTCAAAATTATCGCTTTCAATAAAAGAAATTATGTTTGGCATTATTAATAACGATTCTAAATTCTGTTAAGTCCTCAATCATTTAATCATTATAGGAAAGTATTTTCTTTATGTAAAAGCTCTTAACGGTAAATTTTACATCTTTAATGAATTTGTTTCCCTAGCTCGTGATAAAATTAGTCTAGAAAAATATATTTCTTGTACGACTGGTCGCGAAAACGATTTCAGAACAAAATGGTCTGTTTTTTCATCTCTTTTAAATACAGTATGAAATTCTGTTTACTTAACTGATTGCACTCCCATTTAATTTTAGTTACCACTAATGTTTTTATTGTGTTAGGTTTCTTTTTTGTCAGCTTCAAATTGTAGTTTTCGTTTTGTTGCAGATTGTCTTTTGTGAATGTTAACTGTACGTGTGTATATTCAATAAAGTTGTACTGGAAAAAAAAAAGTACGAAAACAGAACAATTATAATAAAGAATGAAACTCTCAATACAGGCTGATTCAATGAACATAAGTGAAAGAATTACAAGCATACGCTCTTAGTCGTTGTAATAGGACAGTTGCATCCTTCAGTTCCAGTTCTGACTCATTCTGACCTTTTTTTTTTTTCTCCTTTTTTTTTCTTTAATTTTATCCTGGTACTCTTTCATTAAGAAATTGTAATAATCTCTAATTTCAGACGTGGATGAATGCTCACTCAACACTCACGACTGTGTCGCAAATGCAATCTGCACCAATACAGTCGGGTCGTTTACTTGCAAGTGCGATGGGAGTGCTCATTACTATGGGGATGGAAAGACTTGTACTGCCCACCGTAAGCTAACCTTTTTAAATTGGATAATTAAATTAGTAATAACCAAAGGTTACAGAGTTCGGGCGACAAAGATCGATGGTCAAAACGCTGTACTTTGCGTAAGTTTCACACGATATTTATAGTCAAAACACGCGTGATTAAATCAAGACTGCGTTTCCATTCATTCCTAGTGTAAGTCCATAAGAAGCTGGCTACATACGTGCGTTGCATGCGTAAACGCAACCTAGAGATTGTGATTGCAGGCTACTCTTGTGGCCTGCAATAATTTATCTGCTTATAAATCTGCTCTTTTTTGTATTTAAAGGGAGCTGTGTCACGGTTGGCCAGTCCACTTTGTTTATAGCTGCCAATCACGCGTCCTTATTCGCTCTGGCACTGGAGAAAACTTAAATACAAAATCAATTGTTCGTATAAAACAAATGTGCCTCCTAAGCATTTTGTGAGACGTTACAAACAACAAAAATGATAAACAGTTAGGCTAACAAGTTTTCAAACACCACAAGTTCAATCCGTTTCATTCTTGAAGTTTGTCTATCTGAGCCCGTTTTGTATTTGCAGTGTTATTATTCCTTGTTTGAACATTTTGAGTAGTTACTTTTAAGTTCCACTCAATTTGGTGGGAGCTCCCACTGTTTGAATTTTAAAGAGTTTCTTGACACAGCTCCTTTGATAGGTGATTTGCTTTAGGCACTATTTTGTCCTTGGATAAAATTCAATAGTAAGGTCCAGAGTGAGTTGTGGGGAGCTTTGGCAGTTGATTCGTGCGCTTTAGTGGCCTTTGCTGCTTTGGAGAGGTGGCCGTTGTAAAGTCTTACGAAAATGTGGCGGTTGCCAACGTGCAGTTCTCAGGTCTTTGTTTCTTTGCTTTTAGGACTAGTTTAGTCAAAAAGAGCAAAAAAATAATTAAAGCAACCAAAGGACAGATTTTGGTTTGCTTTTCTTTCAGGTGGCCTCGATCACTCATACATTTTATCGAATGACGTCGGCAAGATGTCACAGTTAAATACCTGGCTTCTTCCTCACTTGCAAAGTTCGGACAGAAGTTACTGGAATCTGTGTTATAGAGCCACTAGAGACGGTTGGAGCTCGCAGACCTTTCACAGTTATTGTGATAACAGGGGACCCACCGTAACTATTGTAAGGGTTGGAAGCTACATTTTTGGGGGTTACAACGACCATTCGTGGCAATGTAAGTCTGCTGAATAAAAAGGCACTAAGGGGGGTGTGACTGGCTGAAATCTAAGCCATTAACTCCACGGTGTTTTAACACATCACCCCTTTAAAAAGGGGTGATGAGTGGGGTGGTGCGATTTATTTATGTCCAGTACCTTGAGCAAGACACATTGCGTTGGTTATTTAAACGAAGTCTAACTTAGACCGCAATTTAGGAAACCTTTGAACCTCCAGATCTCTTCCAAGGTAGGTTATTTTTTAAAATAAAAAAGAAGACAAATACTTTTCTAGTCTACGTTATTTGCTTTAATGAAACTGTTCACGAAAAATGGTGTTTAGATAAAAGTGTTCGGGAAAGTGAAAGTAGCTTAGAATGCGGTTTTGTTAAAACACACTGGCTTAACTCCGTTTACATAACTAGGTCAATGACTCTTCGATCGGTTAAAAACTTGCATTCATAATTTCATCATCGTCCTTTCACGGGTTTATAACGAACCAATTCAACGACCTTCTCCCAGTTGGCTTGTTAGCTTCATTGGTAGAGCGCTGCATCGGTATCGCAGAGGTCAAGGGTTCGAATCCCGTACAAGCCCGAATTTTCTTAGGCTTTCTTTTCGCAACTGCGTAAGTTGCGTATATAACTGCGATGATCTTCCTTCAAATAACTTTTCACTCCGCAGTTCATATATATGATTTTTATATATTCATAATGGTTTTATAGTACATTAGTTTTTTTTATTCATGGCAAAAAAGGCAGCTAAGTAATTCAATTAACGCACAACCGGTTATGTTCTAGGGTCTTATATAATGCTGGGGTAAATTCAATAAAAATTTTACAGTACAATTTATAGTTAGAAGTATATCATATCGAAACTCTAAAACAAAAGCTGGCCGTGCTTCTTCTTCCTTTTTTTTTTTTAATTCCTTTAGCCGTTTTAACTGATTGACGTGGAAGTTATCCTCGCAGTTAAAAAAACAACCCAAGGGCTTGAAAAAGCACCTTAAAAAAGTTTCAGGCTTGACCGGGAATCGAACCCTGCACCTCTGCGATGGTCGGACGCAACGCTCTGAAGAGCAGTCGACCAGTGTGAGTTCGTAACATACCCGATGGTGGAAATGATAAAAATCCGGTTGTTTTTCAACCGCTTAGGTTGTTCATTTAACTGCGAGGATCATTTCTACTTTCGTATGTTTATTCGCAGTTCAAAATATGAGTTATTTCATATATTTTCATTCATGCAATTTCCACCATCGGGTATATCACGAACTCACAATGACCTGCTATCCAGTTGGCTTGATTGACTTAATGGATAAAGCGTTGCTTTCGGTCATCGCATAGATGAGGGTTCGATTCCTGGTCAAGATTGAAGTTTTCAGGTTCTTTTTCAACCGGTTAGGCTGCTTATTTAACTGCGAGAGTCATTTCGCCCACTTTTCAAAATGTTGAGTCATTTTATGTATTTTTATTCTGTTTTAACTGAATTGCTCAACACAGCTCTGCAAATTAATTTCCAGTTGAATAGGTATACTATACGTCAAGAAAACGAAGTAGGTATAACTCGATTTCAGACCATCTCGGGACGTAGCTAAAAATGACAGCTTTTCACGAACACTTTTAGTAAATATGCACTACTAAGCTAAGTTTCTTTGTTTGGCACTAAAAGACCTGTTGATATTTTTCGTAGAATTTAAATGTTTTTGTATCTTCTCAGGGTCTTCTGGGTATCAGTCCTCGACCAACACCTTCATTTACTCGCTGCGAAACTATTACGGTTATGGATACTTTAAAAAAGACGTGAACAGCAACTATTGGGGAGCCATATACAGCTACTATAATTATGGTCCAACCTTTGGTGGAGGGCATGATATCTACATTGCAGACAACGCAGGATACAATTATTACTCTTACTTTTATTGTCACTGCTATTCGTATACAAGTCCCTATTGTGACTGTAATATGTGGACTGGAAGCAGTACCTTCTGTCCAAATGAGTTAGAGGTATTCTATGAAGTACTTGCTTAAGTCCACCGGGAATATTAATACAAACCAACAGGGTCATTTTTTATTTCCTGGGTGAAAAGATACTGACTGTCTTAATGTTCACCTTTTGATAGATTATTACCCACTTTATTTTTAAAATCCTTCATAGTTAGGGTGCGTTCAATTGACTCCATTCCGGAAAATGAATACTGAATAAAGTGTAGAAATCCTTTGTTTAGGAATAACTTGCTCTTAGCTAGGACAACAAAGGAGAGCTATAAAGAGCAAGTGAATGGTACGTTTTCAAGTTTATTTCTTGGCTAATTCGCTATCAGATACATCGTGCCAACAACAACACATATGCGTCGGAGGGAGTAGGGATTGAACGTTTAGGCAGATGAAGGGAAACGCGACCCTAAACAATGCAAAGTCTAAGGCTAGGAAGAAAAACAAAGTTATATTCCGAATCTATAACCCTCATCACCTGAATTTGCCTTAGTAAGCCTAGTGAAAGTTACACGCTATGTTCACAGACGAACTAGAAACAGAACGCAAACTGAAGACTTCCTCAAGAACTATATGAGGTAGTACAGTGCGTGGAAATTACGAGACAATTGCGAATTTGGTCGTTTAAGAATTCCAAATTAATTAATGAAAGAACGAAAAGAAATTAGTGTAGTGCATAACAAAACCCAACAAGCCTTCCTTGTATAGGCCAGCAACCTCTGTGTTAAAACCCTGTTGTGGGTAATGGCTAGCCTGCGTAGCAAGCGTTTCCAATCGAGTTATTGCGCGAAAGTTAGGAAGGGGGAGGGAGAGGGGAGAAGAGGTTCCTTCTTTCCCCTTCCCCTCCCCGTCATTCCTTCTTTTGCTCTCTTCCAAACTTTCTCAACGAACTCGCGCGGAAACGCTTGCTACGCAGGCTAGGTAATGGCCAAAATAAACACCCTTCTGTTTCTTTACAAATAATTAGACCCTGTTTAGGATAGGCTGGCATTAAATTGTTCTGTTCAGGACAGAGGAAGCAAAATTCTCCAGCGGCACGTCCCTGCACAGTTCAAACAGGTAAATTCTCCTCTGGGCTCCTGGCTAAGTAACATTCTAATAACTCCCAAATCCCGACAAAAGGCACATGAAGCAGTCTTCTGGAGTTTTATTCCGGAATATGGTTTATCGAACGTACCCTAAAGTTCCGAATTCAGGCATTTAGTTTTTGCAACTCTCTATGATTTTCTGACTGTAATTAATATTGCTTAGTTGTACGAGTTCTATCAGGCTTCACGCATTAGGGCCTCTGTCGACTACAGGCGTTTAAGATTCTTGAACGGCAAACCTACAAAGAATCAGTAACTCCTGAGGAGTCATCCTATGATCGTTTAGTTTTACTTTAGCTGTATTTGCGGTACGTATTCTTTTCTAGTTTAGAGCTTTTAAACTTTTCGTCGTTCACTTGTTATCGCGATGAAAGATACTGGTGTTGCGCTTACTTTCTTGTATGTAATAACAATGCATTTAAAGTTTTCAATCTTCTAATGCTGTGTTACCTACTTGATGGATCAGATATGCAAATTAAGAAACAACTAACATTACACTCTGACCCTGGTTTAAAATCCCTTCCAAACACGTGTGGTTTCAACTCGTTATTCACTGGGCTTCTTGTTATGGACTCATCCACAGAACCATGATAGGGCGTCCTAGCTGGCTTTTAATAAGAAAATGAATAATTTTAAATATTGCTCTGAAAGTAATAAAAATTAGTTTGAGAAAAGCCAACGTTTCGTTGCACAACTTACTGGTTTCTATGCGCCGAGAAGAAAGGGCTATTTTCTCGCGATAACCAGTGTGAAGTTCTAATTAAAATATTTTTCTATATCACTGTGTCATGTATGGAATTGCATCGATTTGAGTAGTTCCTGGCCGGTATTAAATGATGAAAAAACTCCTTCAACAAGATGATAAGAATGATAGTGGTGATGATGATGGTGCTGGTGTTGGTGGTGGTGATGATGATGATGATGATGATGATGATGATGATGATGATGATGATGAAGAGGTTGCTTGGCAACTTTAGGTTCCTTTTCTCTGAAAATCTGCACTTTAAGTCTAAGCAGAGGGAAACGCGACTTCTCAAGATTACAATAGTGGGTTTCTAATGCAATCTGCTTAAATCTCCCAAGGAGAACTTTTGATAAGAGTATGTCCCCCGCTCAATTAATAAATCCTTAGTACGAATAAATTTATAAGAAAAAATATACCTGTTGATCCAAAGATATCATTAAATCGACTTTTTCCTTCTTGGTCTCTAGATCAGCTTATTCTTCTTTTACTTCTTTGAGCGTGCCATTTAGCTCAAGTTCCCTTCAGTCTGTTCTTTGTCAGCCAGAAATACTTTCTTGCAAATGCGGGGAAATCAAATGGACAAATATCATTTGGCTCACCAAAAAGGTTAAAGAGAGTCATTACAGGCTTTCAAATGCACAACCCAGTGCGAATGTAATGACTTAAAACAAAGGGAAGGTGATAACGACTTTTCAAGTTACACAATACTCTTACGATACTCTCAATCATGGGTCATAATTCATGCAAATTGGCCGGGTAAATATGAAATTTTAAGAACCCAAAAAAGCCACTTTTCATTTTACCTTTATTCTGATCTGACATGATACAAGCAAGCGTTCTGCAATTTTAACATCATTTTCAAGAGAAGATCAAATACTGCAGTAGTGTCTGACATTGTTGCTGTTCTTGAGCATCACGAAATGGTCGGGGCATTGGTCAAAACATACCTTGCAGTGGCGGATCCAGACCTTTAGATAAGGGGGATGGGGTGGTCATCCAGACCCTGAGATAAGGGGAGGGGGGCGGTCTTGAAAAAAAATTTTGTTCGCCCCTTCGGGCCTCAGTTTGGTCTAAAAATAAGAGGAGGCCGGGCCCCACGGGCCCCTCCCCTGGATCCGCCACTGCGCATGCCTTGTACATGATTTCACGGTCGCCATTACTTCGTCCAAAACTGAAATCTTTCCAAAAGAAATGGAAGGTGGAGGTGGAGGAAAGTTGGCTTTCGTGTACATGTATGTTAATAAAATCATTTTTATTTGGTTATATAATAAATCCAAAAGTTGTAATTGATTTATTGTGTTGATATATAACCGCGAAGGTGTTGCGAAATTAAGATATCAGGGCGATTTCCTGAAAAAGAAATGTTCATAAATTTCTATCTCGTAACAATTCTGTTTTCTGAAGACACAAATGCCTAAGTCGACTTTGCCTTATGATTTTTGACTGCCATGTTTATTCAAATACATTAAACTGTACATTTTTCTCTGTAATCCGGTGAAATCAAAACAAAAAGCTGACTATTTCTTTTGTTTGGCTCTGACGGCGGGATATAGCCACTAGCATCATCAAAAAAGACAATGCTACTCAGATTTTGTAAAAACGCATTCAAGGCTCTGATAGGCCTGTTATGAAGCCGAGCGGTTCACTCGAGAATTCGAATCCACAACACCTGCGTCTTTCTTATTTAGTTGAGTCGGGAATTCAAATGTGGTTGCCTGGCAACAACTCGAATAAGATTAATGTCCAGTGTGAATAGAACCCAGTGTGATAGTCGTCACGAGGGGAGAAAATCACCCACGTAAAGTCGAATCTGATTAAAATTGGACATGCTATTCCGAAGACGGCGGCATCAGAAAATGCACCGACTTGAAAGACCATTTCTACTGCATTATAAATAATATGCT